ATTAACCAGTGAAACAGCTTGCCTTCAGAAGTTGTGGATGCTCGGCGCGCGATGGCGGCTACTTTGTAGCCGTCTTTCCTGGGTAAGTGTAAGAACCGCTATGAACAGCTGACACCAGCTGTTCAGCGGTTCAAAATCCCCCTCCCGGGCAAAGGGGGGGGGTAGAGAGTGTCTGAATAGTGGTAGAGCCTCTTTTGCACCCCCCAAGTTTTTTTTGGGGGGGGTGAAAGGAGTGCTCCCACGGAGTTCGGACTTGTCTCCGCTTCCCAGCTGTTTTTGTCCTCAGGGACAAAACGAGCCGCTGCAAACACCTCCGTGCTTAAAGAGAACTGGTGAGTTTTTTTTTTTATAAACGGACAGAGCTGAGTAGAGGATTTAGTTTTTGCTTTCTTTGATTTATTTGGATTTTAAGTTTTAAGACTTGCTTCTATTTTTATTCTCTCTTTTTATTTTATTTTTTTTTTTTTCTTGTTGAAAGGGAAAGTAAAATGGCGATCGGCAAATCTCTCGGTGTTTTTTTTTTTTTTGAAGTTAGAATGCTGACCGGCAGGCTTTTTGGTGTTTCTTTTTCTTTCCTTTCCCTTTCCCTTTTTATTTTCTTATGATTGGAATGGTTGTTTTTGGTATTTCTAAGTATTTTTTTTTTGGAACGGACTTTTTCTATTTAATTATTATTATTTTTTTTTTCTTCTCCCTTCTTTATATTGTAATGACTCTTTTTTGAAGGACTTTTTTCTGTTTAATTTTTTGCAATTTTTAAGAAGGAGTAAAGCTTTTTTTAATTCTTTTTCTCTTCCTTTTTTTTTTCCCTTTTTTCTTTTTATTATAATGACCTTCTTTGGAGGGAGTTATGATTTTTGAAGGAATTTTTATAATTTTTTAAGAAGGGCTAAAGGTTTTTCTTTAAGATTGCTCCAAAGCGTCCAGGGATTTCTACAGCTTCTAAATCAACAGTTTCACCCTCTTCTGGGGGTCAGCTAATAACTATGAAGGATTTGCAAAACATGATGGGAGATGTTATAATTCAAATTAGGGCAGAAATGAAAAAGATTTTAGAGGAAAATAATAAGATCTTGAGACAAGATTTTGTTTTGGCTTTAGAAGGAGTTGCTTCTGTTCTTGAAAAGGTGAACTCCCATGTGGAAGAGGTAGCTGAAAAAGTGGACATAATGGAGGGGAAAATTGAAAGTATGGAAAAAGAAATGGAAAATGAGATTCTTATGCTTCAATATGGACAAATGGAATATGCCTTAAGAATCAGAGGCCTGGAAGAGTCTTTGCAAGAAGATTTGAAAGAAATGGTTGCAAAGGATTTTGCATTGATTTTGAATAAAGAAAAAGAGGGAATACTTAGTGAAATTGAAAAATTATTTAGGGTTAACTCTGTGGTGGCAGCACAGAAGAATCTGCCAAGAGATGTGGTAATTTACTTTGGTAAAAGATCCTTACGCAATCAAATTGTGCAAGCCTATTATAAGAAGAGATTTCAAATTGCTTCACAAGATGTCATAATTTTTAAGGAGATCCCATCTAAAATTTTAAGAAGAAGAAAGGAGTTTGCTTTTCTAGTAAATGAACTTAAAAAGAGAAAAATTCTATTCAGATGGGATATTCCGACTGGAATGGTGGTGAACTACCTGGGGACATGTCATAGACTTAATACTGTTTCTCAAGCAAAAGATTTTTATACTTCGGTCCTGGGGGTATGTGCATCGCCATCTATTAGGTCTCAACAAGTCCAGATTGAGGAGCAGAAGACAACTTGTGTAGCACATAACTCCAAAGAAAAGCAGCAACAGAAGAAGGTTAAGGAAGTTTCATATTCAGCGGTCTCTGAATCTCTGGGAGATGTTGGACTTACAAAGTCTTTGGAGCAATCTTCAAGGGTGGCTCTGGGAGAAGTTAGACCTACAAAGTCTTTGGAGCAATCTTCAAGGGTGGAATTGCTGCCTGAAATCGAAATTGGGAAATTTCAGCTTGAGGGGCACCAACAAGAGAGGAACGGGCAGAGGATAACTTGTACAACTTACAACTGTGAAGATCAACACAAGGAGGAATTCACTGAGGAAGTTTTACAGGTATCGGTCCCTGAGACTTGTGCAACATATAAATGTAAAGAAAAAGTAACATATAAATGTAAAGAGAAAGACCAACAGAAGAAGGAGGTTGAGGAAGTTTCACAGGTACTGATTCCTGAGCTGGTGGGTCAACCAGGACTTACAAACTCTTTGGAGCGATCTTCAAGGGCAGAATTCCACGCATTTTTTTCGATGCTTGCGGGCAAGAGAGACCAATATGGATTGTGCTTATAGTAGATGCAACTGGCTATTAGACAGAAGATTATTTCAGTGAGGGGATTCTAATAAATTTGTGTTTCGAAGGGAGTATAATTTGTTTAAGTTTCAAGTAATGCTTAAATTTGGTTTTTAAATATTATTATTAATATTTTTAAGAGAAAATAATTTGCTTAATTAAATGTCTAGATTTGTTTAGGAAAGAAAGTAATGCTTAAATCTGTGTTTTTGGAGAAAGTTTATATAGAATGATGATTGTATTTAGATTTGTTTAGGATTTAAAAGTGTTTCAAGCTTTTAAATATTATTATTAATATTTTTAAGAGAAAATAATTTGTTTAACTAAATGTGTCTAGATTTGTTTAGGATTTTTAAGTTTTTTTTTTTTTTTTGGATAGGTGAGAAGATGATGAAGATTGAAGGAAATATGTATTTACTTTAAGTTTTCTAAGAGTATTTAGTTTTAATGGTACAACAAAGGTTTATATGTTTATCTTTTTGTATTAGGATAAAGAAAGAGGGAGAAATTAGATTTTACATTATAGCTATAGATATTCAAAGAAAGTAATGTTTAAATTTGCGTTTTTGGAGGGAGTTTATATAGAATGATGATTGTATTTAAATTTGTTTAGGTTTTAAAAGTGTTTTAAGTTTTTTTCTCAATTAAGCCTGTACTCAGCTCTGGGAAGTCTAGGGGAGGGTTTGGGAGGTTGGGGAAGAGGGGGGTGAGGTAGGGTTGGGGGGGGTATGGGAAGGGGATTTGTTTTTGTAAAAATTTAAAAATTTTCAATAAAAAAGAAGTTGTGGATGCTCTATTGCTGGAGATTTTTAAGAAGGGATTAGACAGTCATTTGTCTGGAATGGTAAAAAGTCTCCTGCCTGAGCAGGGGGTTGGACTAGAAGACCGCCAAGATCCCTTCCAACTCTGTTATTCTGTCTTCAGTTGCCTTCACTTGTGCAACCTTGGTCTCATGTGCAACCTTGAAACCACATATGTTCCCTGACCTGGACCTCCTCAGCTTCCACTGGCAATTTCAATTGCTGTGGTCACTCCACCTCCCACCCCATGTTTGATCCCTGGACATTGTCTCTGGCTTTAAGACAGGCCAAAAGCTGACTTTTGGAGTAGACCTGTCAACCAGAGGGCTTTAAAAACAAGAATTGACACAGGACATTCATTCTCCCAAGAGGCAATAAAGAGATAAATAGGTTGCTAAGTAATAAACAACTAAATTTCATTTTCATTGATTTATTGATTGATGGGAGGAGGAGAAAGATGAAGATGAAGAAGAATCTGTCTTTTACCTAGAGCTGAAATGCAAGATGACAAAGCTCCACCCTGCTTCATCGTTGACACAAGAGGTTCAGTTGGGACTTCTGACCTCTGGAAAGTGATCTGCAGCTGACAGCAGTGGGGTGTAAAAGGGGCACTTGGAGGGGCATGGGATGGACACAGGCTACCCTGGCATGTGTAATTGTGCTCTGCTTGGATTAACCTTTTTGCCGAGTTGATTGTGTTTAGACCAATCCTGTCCACCCCACTTGAGGGAGCAAGATGGTGATTGACCCTCCAGGCATGGGGATGGTGGTGCTGTGTGGGAGGGAATCATGAAATGAAGGAAGGGCAACACTGCCTACCCACTGCTCACCCACCCCTCATTCCTGAACCGCCCCTTGGCCTTGTTGCTGAGGCCCAGGAAAGCTCAGCTGTGGGAGTAGCATATTTATACTAACATATTTTTCTGGCAACTCAAGGATAGGAGAAATGGTATTGATGTGGCCTTGAGGAAAACTGCTTTTCTGTCTGAGTTCAAGGAGTTCTTGAGAACTTATGAAAGTGCTCTTCTCCTGCTGTCACAGCCAGCATTCCAAGAAATGCTTTGAAAGGACTGCAGGAGACAAAGAGAAATACTAAATTGCTGGACAAACAGAGCTGCTCCCCGCTCAAATCTTCCCCTCCCTTGTGCAGGCAAGCTACCCAGGTGGGCCAAGTAGCCTACCAGATGTTTGATGCCCCTCCTGCATTTGCTGCTTGCCTGATTGGGAATGCAGAAGTTTTTTCGTCTAAGATTCCTGTAGTAGGAAGTCTTCTGTGCTTCCCATCTCAATCCTTGCATCTAGAGACGGAGTTACACAATGAAACACTAGTAACAACTATGTGTCTGTAACTCCTGGCAAGTCCTAAAACGTCAGCCAGAATGCCACACTGGGCAAGTTTAAATGGCTGCTCTGCTTTCTAGTGCCCCTAACAACAGCCCTCCGATATTGTCTCCCATACAGTAACATTTTCTTCATTTTCTCAGCATCCACAGGCAAATTCTTTCTTGCGTATTTTTAGTATGGATTGTCCTTGGTAACTGAATGCCTTCTGCATGTGCTCTGCATATGCTCATCTGACCAGCTGAGGGAGGGAGGGAGGGAGGGAGGAAGGATCATAAACCCTTCTGCTAAACAAAGCACATTCCCTTTTTCTGTATGACATTTCTTGGTGGAAATAGGCCTGTTGCTCTGATTGTAGTCACTCAGAGAGAGAGAACAGAAGAGGAGAGATGGTGTTGCCCATAACCCAAAGCCATTCTGCCCCAGGGGTTGAGATTGGCTTACCTCCGCCTTCCCAGCAAACCCCACCCCTGTGGGCTGGGCAGATGGGGCTCCCTTCCACCCTCCTCACCGGGCAATTGTGGCAGCTCAGCCCCCTTGGCCCCAGCCTTATATTTCTTCTGCTGCGGGTGTCTGCTCTGCAAACCTTGAAGCTCAGCAACAACACAACACAACATGCTGGCTCAGTGCATTGCCAAGCTCCTCTGCCTTGGCACCTCTGGACACACAGCTGTGAGGAGAAGTCCCAGGCTGGCAATGGGAATCTTGGAGCTGGGGAGATGCTTCAGTGACAGCACAAAGCCAAAGAGCACAGACCAGGGGTAAGGATCATCTTACTCTTTTGGGGGGTGGTGGTTCTGAGGCTCCGCAAAATGGGGAGGGGGAGATGCTGAGGCATTTGGTCAGCCCACAGGTCAGAGGCCATGGCACCTCCTTAGCTGCCACCACTGCAGGACTTTTGGTAAGACCTTCTGCCCAATGACGGTTGCCCTCCCAGCTACAGCTTGTTGGAGTTACAGGGGGCTCTCCTACCTCTTTATTACCTTAACCCCCCTCCCAGGACTCCCTCCCGTAATGCCATTTAAAACTGTAAGGATGCTACAAAGCTGAGAGCTATGAAAATGCTGTAAGGAACACTTTTGAAAAAACTCACACCTTGTATCATTGTTAAAGTCCATGAAAACTCAGCAAGAGTTTTCTCTGCTTGCGCAAACAAAACTGGGGGAGCTATAATGCAGAGCTCTCGTCACCTGAACTTCTGGACCGTTCCACTGGTTAATTATCCTCAGTGTTAGCAAATTTCTCCTTATTTCTAGGTTGGTTGTCTCCTTGATTCTTGTTCTGCCTGCAGATGCTTTGGAGAATAAATTATTCCCCTCTTCTTTGCATGTTCCCTCTAATCTAGTCTCCATTCCCAGCTCCCTCAACTGTGCCTCATACAATTTAGCCTCCAGATTCCTTATCATCGTCATTGCTCTTCTTTGCATTCTTTTTAAAGTGTCAACATCTTTTTTTGTATTGTGATCAGAACTGGAAGCAATATTCCAAATGAGGCCTCACTAGTATACTATAAAGCAGTACTATTACTTCTTGTGAACTTGATGCTACCCCTATATCTATACATCCTAGGACTGTGTTGACTTTTTTTGGCAGCTGTAGCACACTGGTGGCTCATATTTAAGTGACTGCCCACTAGGATTCCTAGATCTCTTGCACAGTTACTACTATTGAGCCAGGTACTACCTAGGTATATCTGTTTTTTCCTAAGTGTAAGACCTTACTTTTTTCACCATTGATCTTGCGCCAGTCTCTGAAGAACTTTCTGAATCTGAAATCTGTCTTCCAAAGTGTTAGCAATTCCCCCAGCTCGTGTTGTCTGCAAATTTGATGAGTTCCTCTTCTATCCCCTTGTCTAAGTCATATATAAAGATGCATATATCTAACAAAATGAAATTCAGTGGTGAAAAAGTAAGGTTCTACATTTAGGCATGAAAAACTAAATGCACAGGTATAATAGAGGTGATACCTGGCTCAATAGCTTAGATGAAACTTGTGGATTGTGGAGTCCTAGTGGACAATCACTTATATATGAGCCAGCAGTGTGTGGCAACAGCCAAAGGAGCCAATGCAATCCTAGGCTGCATTAACAGAGGGATAGAATCAAGATCACGTGAAGTATTAATACCATTCTGCAATGCTTTGGTAAGGCCACACTTGGAATACTGCATCCAGTTTTGGTCACCACGATGTATAAAAGATGCTGAGACTCTAGAAACTAGAGTACAGAGAAGAGCAACAAAGATGATTAGGGGACTGGAGGCTAAAGCATATAAGGAACGGCTGCTGGAATTGGGTATGTCTAGTTTAATGAAGAGAAGGACGAGGGGGGACATGATAGCAGTGTTCCAATATCTCAGGGGCTGCCACAAAGAAGCTATTTTCCAAAGCGCCTGAAGGCAGGACAAGAAGCAACGGATGGAAACTAATCAAGGAGAGAAGCAACCTAGAACTAAGGAGAAACTTCCTGACAGTTAGAACAATTAACCAGTGGATCAACTTGCCTCCAGTAGTTGTGAATGTTCCAACACTGGAAGGTTTTAAGAAGAGATTGGACAATCATTTGTCTGAAATGTTATAAGGCTTCCTGCATGAGCTAGGGGTTAGACTAGAAGACCTCCAAGGCCGCTTTCAACTCTGTTAATCTGTTGTCCTGTTCTGTTGAAGTGTACTGGCCTAAGACAGAACTTCAAGGTACCCCATTGCATGCTTCCTTCCACATAGATGTAGTTCCATTGAGGACTAGATGCTGAGTGTGGTTGGTCAGCCAGTTGTGAATTCATCTGGTGGTAATGCTGTCTAACCCACATTGTTCTATATTACCAAGAATTACTACAACAAAGGTCTTAAAAGTGGGATGCCTGTGGCAGCCAACCGAAAGAGACCTCTAAGAAATAGGCCAAAATTACCACAGAATTATCAAAGTAAGGATTAGAGATCATCATGTTACAAATAACCAGGTAATAGCAGAAGCCTAAAACAAGTATAATGAGAACAGGAATCACTGTGTCCCCCCTCCCTTCCAATTCTCTTAACTGTCTTATTCAACAGACTGTGGTTTGTACAATTCCTAGTTGTCAAGTGCTGGTATCACAGGTCTAGCCAAAAGGTTGCCCATGTAAATGGGGTGATGTGGCAGGTGGTGGCCCAGCAGGAGTTCCTTCTGGCACAAAGCTATTGGTTGCTCTTCAGAAAAACAGCCCTTCAAGAGCTCATTTTAAGCCCTTGAGACAGCCATGTATTGCCTCTGCCAGAATGTGGGCCCATCATAATGTGTTTTGCCAATGCCAGGGCAATGATCAGGTGCCCAGGCAATTGGTTCTTTTGGATCCAGAGACAATAACCATACCAGTAAATAAAGGGATTTTAAGATTTATTATTAGGTCAAGCAAAGAGATGTAAAAGCATAATCTAAGAAGCCTTGACTGGCTGGGACATGACTCTGGGATGGGAATTGAACAGACTTTTACAGCAGGAAAAGCTTTGAAGCTACATGAAGATTCTACCCCCCACCCTTCTTTATTCAGTAAATAAAGGTGTAAAACAAGCTGGCTAGCTTAGACTGAGCTCTAGACTTCTAAACTTTTCTTAATATGAAAGAAAAATCAAAATATGTCACTAAACTCAAAATAACAATGGCTGTCCACATTGTCACTATGATGCATCACATTCTTTTATTTAATATCTTGTACAAGTGGCTCTTCTTCCCCAGTGGTTTCTGGAATTCATGAATAGCATTGAGATGAGCTTTGTCCAAAGCCACATCCAAGTGATTGGGCCTTAAAGAATAATTATGACCAATTTTCTCACTGATTTATTCAGTGATGCTTCTTGTCATGAATAATCTAGTCCCATCAAGTTAAGGCTCTTATTTGTCTTATGATGCATTGGTACACAGAGCCAAGCAGGGGGAAAAACCCCCAGGAACTGTTGAAGAGGAACATTGCATTTGACCAGGAGCCCTGGTAGCCCAGTAGTTGGAATGTGCAGGATTGCAGGCTGACTCTGCTCACAGCCAGGAGTTCAAACCTGACCAGCTCAAGGTTGACCCAGCCTTCCATCCTTCCGAGGTCAATAAAAGAAGGTCCCAGATTATTGGGGGCAATATGCTGACCCTGTAAACCACTTAGGGCTGTAAAGCACTGTGAAGTGGTATATAAGTCTAAGTGCTATTGCTATTACTATTTGAATCTAAGTAAGGATTAATTCCTTGAAACCTCTTCTAAGATGAGATTCCCTTGGCTAGCTTGGCTCAACACCTGCATTTCCCCCCCATCTAAAATGCAAACTTTGCCTCTCATTCTTGTGTCCCAGATCTTTCTTCCTTCTTCTGCATCTCCTTGTTCAAGGCTTAATTTTCCAGCTGCATCAAGCTCAGAACTATGGCCTGTTCAAAGTCCTTTCTTCACTGCTGGCAGAACATTTTGGAGAACCAGGGTAGGGAGTCATGAAAGTATAGGGCTAGGAATAGGGAGGGCCCACTTTAAGAGAAGCCTCAGTCCCAGAATTTCCCAGGATGGCTTTCAGCCAGTTCCTCCCTCTCAGAGTGACTGGTTGTTCTGGGGAAAAGGAGAAGGAGGAGGAGGGAGGGAGGGCTATGCACATCACCTTGACCTTCTGAAGGAAGCTGGGATAGAATTCCAGGGACAGAAACCTGCACCAGGCAACTGATAAATGTCTCTCTCTTGGCTCACCCAGAGGCCAGAAAAGCCTCTCTTGGGACTTCTTCAGGGCACACAAGCCCTGATGGGGGATTAAAACTTTCTTGGCTGGTCAGTTCACAAATCTTGCAGACTTGCATTGTGACAGAAAGGGCAGCAAAGTAACACAGCATTTGAGGACTTCTGAGTGAGCAGCCCAGGAAGGAGCCTCCTTTCACAGCATGGAATGGTCCTTCCCAAGGCTGTAGCTTCTGAGGAAGTCAAGGCAGAAGCCACCCCAAGGTTGTGCAATTTATCTTGAAAACAAACCTTGAAGGGAACCCTTCCAAAGCGCCACCAGAACAGCTGCTGACGTCAAGGTCTTTTAACCCACAGATTCCACTCCATTTTCCCAAGGCAACACTTTGCCTTCCCAAGTGGGACCCAGCTTGATCTTCCCACACTCTCCACCTGTGACTGCTGATGTACAGTAGCATTGAATCTGAACTGCCATTGCAATAAGCCATGGATTGTTTTAATCATGGTTTACTATAGAAGCTACAATGGTTAACATTTCACATTCAACCAAAAACCAAACAAACTGCATAATGCTCTGATTTTTCATTGCAAAAAGTCATAAGTATGGGTTTGGCTTAGTATGTAGTATTACCCAGCCCTGTTGGGTTATTTCGAATATACTATGGTGAAGTAGTCATGGCTTAGGAAATGTATGTGTTTGTAGTGTGTATATCAATTTAATTAGACACAGGCAACCTTATTACTGTCCCTGTAGTTCAGGCTTTTATCCTTCTCTCCCAGTTTGAGCAACAAGGTGGGGATATCCTGGGGAGGGGTCACTTTTGGCCTTGGGTGTCTGGTTAGGCATCCCACCTATACAGAATCCTCTGACAATAAAGAACAGGTAGGTGGGATAGCAGGTTAAAGTTTGGAAAAGGTAAGAGATTGTCTTTTCCATCTGATGCCCCTGCAACATAATCCCAGCAAAGATGCTTTTAGTTCAGGCTCCCCCCCCACCCCCCTCAAGCCCTGTTTCCTGTGGGAGCGCAGCTCGCCTTTCTTTGCCTCTGAGCCATTTTGCCCTCATGTCAATATTGGTTTTTTTT